TGAGTTTGATTCCCAGTACCAAAAAAAAAAAAAAGAAAAAAGAAAAAAAGGAAGAGAACATGAAAAGGAAGACAATCATATTAGGATGGGGAAAAGGCGAACAGCAGATTCTCACACAGATTGCAATTTTTACTAAATATCTGAAAGTATTTGACTAGCAGGTTGAGAAAGAAGGGTCACAAGTTTGAGATTAGCCTGGGCAACTTGGCGACTCAGCAAGACTCTGTCTCAAAAATGTAAAAAACAAAACAAAACAAAACAAATGTGGTAGTGCGTTCCTATAATCTCAACACCCTGAAAAACTGTGCAGGAGGGTCACAAATTTTAGGCCTACCCTAGACAATTTAGAGACTTAGCAAAACCTCATTTCAAAAAAAAAGGGCTGGGTGGGGACATAGCTCAATATAAAGGCCCTGGGTTCAGTTCCTAGTGCAGCAAAACAAACAAACAAAAAATAACACTTTTTCTGTTTTGGAGACAGAGTCTCACTATGTAGATCAGGCTGGCCTTGAACTCACTGTAGCTCATGCAGGCCCCAAACTCAAGGCGATCATCCTGCTTCCACCGCCTGAGTGCTGGGATTACAGGCGTGCACCACAATGCCTGGCTAATAATTTGGTTTCTTAAAGTAGTTTTATGTGTATATATTTGTTCTGAATTTATCAGTCCTTTGCCTTTATATATGCATGTCATTTAAGGGTGATAGAAATAAAATGATTTTATTATATATATATTATTCTCTAGAGTTTTGTGTTCTCACATGTTTCTCTTTTTTGTCTTTTGGTCTGTGTCTAGGCTACAGTTATATACATAGCTCATTTTGTTAGTAACATTTGTAAAATAAGTACTTGGTGTTATTTTATCAAGAAATTTTTTGAGTGAGTTATCTCTCTGTCTCTCCTTTTAAAATTCAGGCTTTGCTGGTTCTTCATCAGCTAGACAGCATTGATTTATGGAATCCCGATGCTCCTGTAGAAACATTTTGGGAGATCAGGTACATGTACTTTATATTTTTTAATTCAATTTTAAAATTTAGTTTTGTGTTTTTTGTCTTCAAGTAGTAACTCTATAGTACTTAGTTCACTATATAACTATCCACTTATACCTCCAAGGTTTTGTGATTTTTGTGTTTTACTTGACTTGCTATTACTAGAATTTTAAAATTTCAACTGTAAGAACAATGTCACAGCAAGGTAGGAAATAAATTATTAAAATAATGTTAAGTTTTACCACCCAGCTATCAGTATTTGTTTGATATAACTTTTTTTTTTTTTTTTTTTTTGTGGTTTTTCTCCGGTACCGGGAACCGAACTCACGACCTTGCTCTTGCCAGGCAGGCACTTTTGCCGCTGAGCTAAAGCCCCAGCCCCACTTTTTTGTTTTTTAAAACTGTGATTTTTCATAAATCCTCCATAACAGTGCTTGATGATGTGTATGTGCTGAGAAGGCAAAACATACATAGAGAATTTCATTGTCTATTTCCTGGGTGAAATAAATATCTCTTACTGAGCATAAAGGCACTACACTGAGGAAGATGTAAATGTGGAACCTCAAGTTTTGCCATCATCTTACTCTGACATGGGTGTGCTAAGTCCCTTGGAAGCTGAGATAAGTTCTAACCCTGAGCGTTGTTCTCTGATAATAATACAATGTGAACCACAGGTGTAATTTAAATTTTGTAGTTCCCACATTATAAATTTAAAAGAAGCAGATAAAGTTAATTTTAATAATACATTTTTTTTTTTGGTTTTTCTCCGGTACCGGGAACCGAACTCAGGACCTTGCGCTTGCCAGGCAGGCGCTTTTGCCGCTGAGCTAAATCCCCAGCCCCTTAATAATACATTTTAATTAACCCCGTATATATACATATCTATAATACTATAATTTCCAAATATAATCAGTATGAGTTGTTAATGAGATATTTTATATTCTTGTGTTCATGAAGTTCTCACAACGTGGTGTTTTATTTTTTTTTATTTTTTATTTTTTATTTTTTTGGTTTTTCTCTGGTACCAGGAACCAAACTCACGACCTTGCACTTGCCAGGCAGGCGCTTTTGCTGCTGAGCTAAATCCCCAGCCCCAACGTGGTGTTTTAAATGTATAGCACATCCCAGTTTGGACAAGCTATGTTTGAAGTGCCCAGTAGCCACATGTGGCTGGCCAGTGTCCGTTTAGTTGGACAGTAGCTTTAGACTGGCATCAGAAGCTTGTTCTCTAGAACACTGTGTTGGGTTTCTGCGGGTCGTCCAGTCTCTGTGTTCAGTTATTATTGACTTCTGCTTTTGGAGCAGGAAAGCAGCTGTGGACAACATGTGAATAAATGGATATGACCACGTTTCACTGAAACTTTATGTTTAAAAGCCAGTGGTGGGAGGGAGGGGGTGATAAGGGAGAGCAAGGGGAAGTAAAAGGAATTAAGATGTGTTATATAGATGTACCAACTCCCTGCAGTGGATGTAATCATTCATGGAACTAACAAAAATTTTAAAAATAAATTGAAAAAAAGAAAAAGTAAAATGATGGGCTGGCTTTGACCTAAAGATGAGGATTTGCAGACCCCTGCATTATATCACTAGGTTTATGTGTTGTTCATGTGAATTATCATTTTTTTTTCCCCCCTCTGGTACCGGGAATCGAACTCACAACCTTGCGCTTGCCAGGCAGGCGCTGTGCCGCTGAGCTAAATCCTCAGCCCCTATAAATTATCATTTCTTTTTATGCCCATTTCAAGGGATGTGATACTTGAATAAAACCTTAGGAGTTTGGGAAATAAGGGGCTTATATTTTTTACTTTTTAATTATAGTCTGTAGACTCCCTTTATTTATGCTGCTGTTAACAGTTGGCTAACCATTTCTCTAAAACCCTGCAAGGGAAACTAAACTTTTCTAATTGATAGCTGTTATGAGAGAATGCCATTCTCCTGTACTGATTACATCTATGTTAGGTTGTTTATTTATGGTGCCAATAACAATAAACTTTTATTACTACAGTTCCCAAATGCTTTTTTACATCTGCAAGAAACTAACTAGTCATCAAATGCTTAGTAGCACAGAAATTCTCAAGTGGTTACGAGAAATTTTGATCTGCAGGAATAAATTTCTTCTTAAAAATAAGGTAAGCAAAAGGGACATCTTTAAAATTGAAAGAATATTCACAATAGTAATGGGACGGATTTAAAAAGTGTTTATTAGCCAGATCAGTTCTATTTCAGTTCGTCCTTCCTGACAATCACTATGAGCAATAGCAATATATATGTAAAGGATAGGGGCTGATATATCAACATTTTAAAGATCTGAGCCTTCGGCCTTCAAACTGTAATGTTGAAGATTTCTAGTTGACTTACGTAGGACTGTGTTTGGGGCAGACCTAGAGGAATGGAAGCTGTTATAACGGAAGTAGCCTGGAGAGCATATTCTCAAGTCCATATTATGATTTGGATCTCGTATCTAGGTCAGTGTAGGAAATGTTGCCTATCAAGATGCTGATGGAAAAGGTCCTCAGTTAAGTTTATTTATATTCTTTCTATCTGGATTTCATCTTTAGAGGTCAAGAGTCTTCTTCCTTAGGTTGGAGTAACTATTTTTTTTAATCCCATATGATTAAGACACTGAGGTTGTGAGGAATAGTAAAGACCCTTGCATTTCTTTTAACATATAGTTTCTATAGCTAATTAATTTAAAAGTTCTTTTACTGTGGCATAGTTTTAGTACTTGATTTAATGAATTTTAATGCAGTTCTGGAATCATAGCTTTGAGAAATCTTTAGTGTCAAACTCATGCAAGCAGTACCATGGGTCTTGTTAAATTTTTGGCTTCAAATGTGCTAATGGTGAGATGAGTTTTATTTACATTTGTCTTATCTTTTTGGTTTTCGTTTTTTTTTTTTTTTTGTCTTTTTGAGACAGGGTCTCACTATGCAGTTCAGGCTGGCTTGAGCTCACTTTGTAGCCCAGGCTGGCTTCGAACTTGCAACGATCCTCCTGCCTCAGCCTCCCGAGTGCTGGGATGACAGGCGTGGACCACCATACCCAGCTCATTTGTCTTATCTTGATGTCTTACAGTAGTGGAATTTGAGATTATTTAAAGATAAAGAAAAAGAATAGACTTCAAAGTTTTGTGCCCTTACCTATGGAATAATATCTAAAGTATAAACATTACTAATTAATCTAAAGTACTCCGGTGAACAAAGTCATTGGTTACATAGTTGATAGTTTTGTCTTATAAAAGTCAGCTTCCAACTATCCTGACATAACGTAGGATAAAATATTATGGGGGAAAGTCTTTGTTATTTATACAATACTTGATTGAGTTGCAGTAGTTTCACACAGATTTATATTGTTACTGTTTCACTTATGGCCATGGTAGGCTTGCTTAATTAACTTGCCTGCCTTTTTCCCTCTTTCCTTTCCTTTCCTTTCCTTTTTCCTTTTTCCTTTCCTTTTTCCTTTCCTTTCCTTCCCTCTCCCCTCCCCTTCCCTCTCCCCTCCCCTTCCCTCTCCCCTCCCCTTCCCTTCCATTCCCTTCCCTTCCCTTCCCTTCCCTTCCCTTCCCTCCCCTTTTCCCTCCCCTTTTCCCTCCCCTTTTCCCTCCCCTCCCCTCCCCTTTCCTTCCCTTCTCTTTTGTTCAGGGTCTCACAATGTAGTTCAGGCTGGCCTTGAGCTCACTATATAGCCCAGGCTGGCCTCAAACTGGGAGTGAACCTCCTGCCTTCCTCCTGAGTGCTGGGATTATAGGCAGGCACTGCCACCACACCTGGCTACTTGCATTTCTTGTCTCTTCTTTTCTTTTCTTTTTTTTTTGAGACAGTGTTTTACTATGCAGTTCAGGCTAGCCTTGAACTCTCTACCCCAGGCTGGCTTCAAACTTGCAGTGATCATCCTGCCTCAGCCTTTCAAGTGCTGGGATTGTAGGCATACACCACCATGCATGGCCACTTGCATTCCTTGAATTTGATATTTTTAATGATTTGAAGAAAAGACTCAGAGGATTTTCAAAGACATTGAGCAAATATTTGTCTTAATGAGTTTTTAACAAATGTTTCTCAAGGTGAAGCATAGGGATTGAGAGGACAGGTTCTCCAGGATAGTCTTAAACAAGAAGACAACTCGTATTAAGCATCAGTTCCAGTTGGTTGTCAGGCTGTGTAGAGCTTATTTATTTCTTTTTTCTAGCAGGCAGATAGAAGCTCCTGTCACTTTCTCTTCCTTTATGGAGTAGGATGTGATGTTCCTGCTAGTGGAAATACCACTCAGATGTCCATGGATCATGATGAATTACTACGTGCCTGTACTCCTGGAGCATCTCTGCGAAAGGGGAAAGGAAACTCCTCCATGGTAAGCAGCATTTTTGTAATTTTCCCACATCATCTGTGTTCTGTCCCCACTCCCCCGCTATTAAATGAACTTAAGTAAATTTCAGTTAGGTAATTTAGCAGTGTAAAAAAAAAAGCTTGGATTCTAGGCAGGTGCAGTGGCAGCTGTGAGGGAGGCTGAGGCAAGAGGATTGTAAATTCAAGTCCCATCTGGGCAGCTTAGCCAACCCTGTCTCAAAATAAAAGTAAAAAAAGGGCTAGGATGTAGCTCAGTGGTAGAGTGCCTCTCTGCCCTCAATGCTGTTTATGTATTTTTGTATCACTGGTCTTTGTGGAACCTTGGGCAAGTTCTTAACATCTCTGTGCCTTAGTTTTTCAGCTTTAAAATAGGAAAAATAACCACTGCCCCAGAGTTGTTAGTATTAAATGAGATCATTGATTGCTTAACACTATAACTGATAGCTTTAATTCTTACAATTCTTATAAGACTGTTCATATCTAGACCTTTAAAATTAAGCAGTATGATATTTACTGCTGCCTGCTTTACTTGCTGAATTTACATTTCTTTTATAAATGAATGTTTCCATTTCATGTTTTGGAAGTAATAAAATTCAGAATCAAATGTATCATCTATTGCAGTATTTAATCTTCTTTGTGCTTAATTGAATCAGTGCTGGAGTGTGCCTGTAGTACTTCATCCCTCTAGGAAGTAGACTTTCCTGTCACTTCCTCTTCCTTTGTCATTTATAATTGATTGGGAAGTGCCTTACATTTTTCCTGAAGTAGTTTTATGTTGTGATATTTTACTTATGTCTATGCTAGACTTAATTTACATTTCTGGAACCCAGCTTAAGATGACATCTATTTGATTTGAAATTCTACAGATCGCAACATTATGTTGGTTCAAATAATCTTACTTACAATATGATTTGTTTGGAAAATTCTTATCATGATTAAAGTTTTTATGAGTTTTTAAAAAAACTTTTTAGGTCTAATTGAATTATTGCATTATTCATTTTTGTCTCTCTTGAGTTTTAAATGCTAATAAGTATGGTACACAGTTTATTGGATGGTTGAGTTTTGTAAATAAACTTACGTAAGTGGAAAACATGTATCTCCTACTTCTGATTCCCAGGATAGTGCAGCAGGGTACAGTGGAACCCCACCAATATGCCGCCAGGCCCAGACCAAACTCGAAGTGGCCCTGTACATGTTTCTGTGGAGCCCTGACACGGAAGCCGTCCTGGTCGCTATGTCGTGTTTCCGCCACCTCTGTGAGGAAGCTGACATCCGGTGTGGGGTGGATGAGGTGTCAGTGCACAACTTCTTGCCCAACTACAACACGTTCATGGAGTTCGCCTCTGTCAGCAGCATGATGTCAACAGGTAAGTGTGGATAATTGTTTTAACATTTAATTCTGTGGCTTTTTTTTTGGTTTTTTTTCGGGTACCAGGAATTGAACTCATGACCTTGCGCTTGCCAGGCAGGTGCTGTGCCGCTGAGCTAAATCCCCGGCCCCTTTAATTCTGTTTTGAGTCACATGATGTCTAATTGTGTTAAGAACGTAAGAGTATTTAAGATTACTGCTTTCTAAGTTTGCAGTAGCTTATTTGTAATCTGTTACTGAACAAGGTAGGATGAAAATCAGTAGCATTTGAAACAAATATTAATTTTTCACCAAAAAAAATTTTTCTTTGAAACAATCTCACTGTGATCCCAAGCTGGCCTCAAATTCCCAACAGTCCTCCCATCTTAGCCTCCTGAGCACTAGAGTAATAGGCATGCACTGCCACCCTTGGCCCTTGCCAAATTTTTAATATGTTACATATTTGTTAAATAACTGGGAGTGTCAATTAGTCTCTATTATGAATTATCTCATTTACTTGGCCTGAAATGCGTATTGTGTAGTTTTAAGCACATGGCATGGATGCCTTTTGAGTAACTCATTATGGAGTTCAAGATAAATACCTTGTCTGAGGTTAGTGAAAGAAGTTTTTGTCATTTGAAGCATTTTATCCCTCCTGCTTTACCTCTGGAGTGAGGCTTGTCAGGTTTCCCTTTGGCAAACCAGGTGCTGAGTGTAATAATTTGATTTTCTGTTGACTTTGCTTAGGAAGAGCAGCACTTCAGAAACGAGTGATGGCACTGCTAAGGCGCATCGAGCACCCCACTGCAGGAAACACTGAGGTATGCCCTCAGCAACAGAAGCACTCCTCCCTCTCCGCCTCAGTGTTAGAAGCCAGCAGCGACGTGTGATCAGGCTTTTGAAGTGAATCTGAATAATGCACATTTTACAAGTAATAGGTTATACTTTAGTGTGCTCCAAGTAGTTATATTTATAATATACATACTTGTAATATGCACCAAGTTCAAAACCTAGCTGTTAACACCAAGGTCAAAACCTAGCTGTTACAGATTTTTAGCTCTTGGCTTAAATTTTCTTTCAAATGAAAATTGCTTTTATTTTAGGCTTGGGAAGATACACATGCAAAATGGGAACAAGCTACAAAACTAATCCTGAACTATCCTAAAGCCAAAATGGAAGATGGCCAGGTGAGTTTATAAAGTTGATTTTTGTTTATTAATTGACTTCCTGTACACATGTATTTCACTTCAGCAGTCTTCTGCGAGTCATTCGGAGTGTAACACGTATGTGATTATCTTAGAACTACTGAGTTTGAATGCATCTAGATCTGCATTGTCTAATGTGGTAGCCACCAGCCATACGTGGCTGTTTGCATGAATTTATGTTAAATTTTAACTCAGAATAATGAAAATTAAATACAATTCAGTTCCTCAGTCATACAGTAGCCATATAACCACGTGTGGCAATTAGTGTATTGGACAATAGTGATGTGTGAGACATTCCATCATTGCAGAAATATTGGACTGCACTGCTGGAAAACATTTGTGCAAGAGACCATTTCTTTTTTTTTTTTTCCCTCTCTTTAGTCAAGGTATTTCACAAAATTTTTAAAAAGGGGAAGAACAGGAATAGAGAAACATAAAAATAAAATTCATTTTGCTATTTTGTTATTCTTTTTTTTTGGTTTTTTGGTTTTTCTCCAGTACCGGGAACTGAACTCACGACCTTGCGCTTGCCAGGCAGGCGCTTTGCCGCTGAGCTAAATCCCCAGCCCCCTTGTTAGATATTCTAATTAAGAGATCTAAATAGGTAGACGCTTGAAAGCATAGGTTAAATGAAATTTTAAAATTTGAATGTTTGTCAACTATTATCAACTATATAATTTAATTTATCAACTAATTTCAGTTGTTGTCTATTACCCCAGAAATAGATAATTAATTGGTATTTGTGTATATTGTATTTGTATCACGCATGTTGCTGTCTTTGTAGGTGGTTGAGAGAAGCTGTTTTTTGGTCATGCTTAATTAGAACAAGAAAAAAAGCTGTTTTATGCAGTAAAATTATATACCTTATATATCATTTGGAGAGGATAGGTAGTTTTTGGATGAAACTTTTGGTAGCTGTTAACTGATACCTAATTCACATACCATAGAATTTACTTCCTTCAGGAATCTTATTCAGTAATCATTTCTACTATATTCACAGAGTTGTATAACCTTTACATAATTTAGAACATTTCAGCCAGGTGTGGTGGTGCACACATGTAATCCCAACACTCAGGAGGCTGAGGCAGGAGGATTGCTGTGAGTTTGAGACAAGCCTAGGCTACAAAGTGAACTCAAGGCTGGCCTGAATTGCATAGTGAGACCCTGCCTCAAAAAAGAAAAGAAAAAAAGACAGAACATTTCCATCATCTCAAAGAAAAAAAACAAAAAACTCATACCCTTTAGTTATTTCTTCCCCTAACTCCTGATTTTTCGCCTATCTGTACCCCTCTGTCAGTGGGCATCCAGACTAATCTACTTCCTGTCTCTGTAGGTTTGCCTCTTCCAGACAGTTTATGTAAAAGAGATTATAACTTATGTGGGCTGTTGCGACTGGCGTCTTTCACTTAACATGTTTTACAGGTCCATCCATGTAAACCAAAGCTTTTTAAAAGAAATTTGATACTCTGGATTAATTAAAAATATATATGAGAATTTTAAGTTTTGCTTTTTAAAATGTAAAAAATGTACTACTGAAAGAAATGATAAGGAGTAATTTGTGAAGTTCTAGCCAATCTAGGTTGTTCATGCTCTCCACAAAAATTTTGTGTTTAGGCTGCTGAAAGTCTTCATAAGACCATTGTTAAGAGACGAATGTCCCATGTGAGTGGAGGCGGATCTATAGATTTATCTGATACAGACTCCCTGCAGGAGTGGATCAACATGACTGGCTTCCTTTGTGCACTTGGAGGAGTGTGCCTGCAGCAGAGAAGCAATTCTGGTCTCGCAACCTATAGCCCACCCATGGGCCCAGTTAGCGAACGTAAAGGTTCCATGATTTCAGTGATGTCTTCAGAGGGAAATGCAGATACACCTGTCAGCAAATTTATGGATCGGCTGCTATCCTTAATGGTGTGTAACCATGAGAAAGTGGGACTTCAAATACGGAGCAATGTTAAGGATCTGGTGGGTCTAGAGTTGAGTCCTGCTCTCTATCCAATGCTATTTAACAAATTGAAGAATACCATCAGCAAGTTTTTTGACTCCCAAGGACAGGTAAAGTGTTCTCTGCTTTATTTTTCACCCTTTCCTATAGAGGGATCTTGTTTGAAAAAATGAAGTCTTATTTTTTCCAAATGATTTAAGTTAGTTTTCTACATGAATATTCACTCACAATTAAAAAAATAAGCAAAAATTTATAGGAAGCAGTCTTCTAACACAGGATTTAGTTTGCTTATTGGGAACTTTGGCATTTGAATGTGCCTGGAGGTATGAATATCATGCGATATGGATGTGTATCTACATATTTGAGTCTGTGTGTGTGTGTATGTGTGTGTAAGACAGACACAAAGACAGACGGAGAGGGAAAAGGAGAAGGAAATATTGAGGACAGTCAGTTTCATCTCTTTGGTCTGTCTGCTGTGCATTGATGATAAGTCACTAATGTAGTTTGTCCTTTGTATAGGTTTTATTGACTGACACCAATACTCAGTTTGTAGAGCAAACCATAGCTATCATGAAGAACTTACTGGATAATCATACTGAAGGCAGCTCTGAACATCTGGGGCAAGCTAGCATTGAAACAATGATGTTAAATCTGGTCAGGTAAGCATTCAGCTACTAAAATGTAGCAGAAAGATATTTTAAGAGGTAAAAAACCCTCTGACACATTGATATTGGCAGTTACTGATGAGAAAATTTTTCATCCTTTTGTTTACTGGGCTCAAGGTAAACTAGAAGTTGTATGTGTTCTTTTTTTTTTTCTTTCTTTTTTGGTACAAGGTCTCGCTATGCAGTTCAGGCTGGCCTTGAGTGCACTGTGTAGCCCAGGCTGGTCTCGAACTCTCAACGATCCTCCTGCCTCAGCCTCCTGAGTGCTGGGATTACAGGCGTGCACCACCATGCCCGGCCGTGTTCTTAAGTAAAATAAAAATTTTATTGTGCTTAAATTATATTTAGTCATTTTAATTAGAGATTAATGAAAGCAATTATAGTTCTTTTTTGTCTGTATCTGATAAGTTTTAAAAATGTTTCTTTATTTAAATAGATATGTTCGTGTGCTTGGGAATATGGTCCATGCAATTCAAATAAAAACAAAACTTTGTCAGTTAGTTGAAGTTATGATGGCAAGGAGAGATGACCTCTCATTTTGTCAAGAGATGAAATTTAGGTAAGTTCTCAAAAGAGCAAATGAGAGCCTTGTGCATGTCATGTGAAATGGAACATAGAAAAACAAACCTGTGCTCCCTGGGGAAAGGAAGAAGTGGAAAGAGAGCATTTTGCATGTTGTTATCTAGGAATATCTTTCCAAATTGCCCAAAGCTTTGTACCTTTGGAAATACCTTTTTTTTTTTTTTTGAGACAGGGTCTCACTATGTCGCCCAGGATGGCCTCAAACTCCCAGTGATCCTCCCGAGTGCTGGGATGAGAATGTCATTTTTTAAACACTATGTTCTACTTGCACTGAGAAATTGATTATTTCCAAAATGTACCATAACAGAATGCTAATGTAGATCACCAATATCTAAGTTGTATTTGTGACTTTTTTTAAAAAGCTGTGACAGCAGTATCATTTTTATGAAGTTGACATGTCACCTGGGTTATCTATGTGCACTATTTAAAAATCTTAATGTTTAAAAGATGTATGTATGTGGTTTTTAAAAAATTGTTTGCTATTTCCATCTTGTCACCATTGTGTAGGAATAAAATGGTAGAATACCTGACGGACTGGGTTATGGGAACATCAAACCAAGCAGCAGATGATGATGTAAAATGTCTTACAAGGTAAAAAAAAAAAAAAAAGACTTAAATAGTACCAGCTTTTACTTTAGGCACTAAAACTTTCATTATAGCTGTCATACATAGTTTTTGTGTGTAGTTCTTTTTTAGATGTTAAGCTTTTGTTGATTAGTTGATTTGATTATGGCACTGGGGATTAAACCCAGCATCTTGAACATGCTAGACAAGCATAGTGCCAGTAAGCTATATTCTCAGCCCTTTTTATATTTTTATTTTGAAATAGGGTCCCACAAAGTTGCTCAGGCTGGCCTTAAATTTGCAGTCCTAATCCTACCTCAGCATCCCAAGTAGCATGTAGCATCATGATGAGCAAAGATACTGGTCTTTGTTACTATTTTTTTTTTAACTAAAAGACTTTTAGCAAAAACAAATGTGAGAAAGTATTACTTGGGACTAATACTGTCAATTTAAGAATAATAGTTTACAGTTACTGGGAAAGAAGATGCATAAAGTCTCTTAGGTTGTATTTGATGTTTAGATAAAGGTACAAGTATTATTTGAGGAGCTTAATCACGTCTTTCTCAGAACTAATTGCTTAAATGATAAATGTATAAGAGTATTTAATGATAAATACTTAATGACATATCAATAAATGAACACTGTATCTTTGGCCAGGGCTACTTTGATTGTATATGCTTTCGATTGATTGACTGACTTTTGTTGGGGATTGAACCCACGATTCAGGTATGTTAAGTAGGCACTGTGTTACTGAGCTATAGTGCTAGTCCCACAGTTTTTCCCAGTACTGGGAATTGAACTCATGACCTTGTGCTTACCAGCCAGGCATTGTGCCGCTGAGCTAAATCACCAGCCCCTAGTCCCACAGTTTTGATTTAAGGTAGTTATCATGCCAAGATTACTTTACAGAAAGTTGTTATCATCTTCTTGATTCAAAATGATTTTTACATTCTGAGATCTGTATATTACTCAGATTACTTAGTTGTGCTAATGATTCATTTAATGAAGCAGTGCTTACAGTTTATTTGAAGGGAATGTTGAGTAGAAGAATCTGAAGATTCATAGTATCTGAATTATTTTTCCTCAGAGATTTGGACCAGGCAAGCATGGAAGCAGTAGTTTCACTCCTCGCTGGTCTTCCGCTGCAACCTGAGGAAGGAGATGGTGTGGAATTGATGGAAGCCAAATCACAGTTATTTCTTAAGTAAATTTCAGCCATCAAAAATACGAAGCAAAAAACAACTCCCCCCCACCCCATACAAGTGTAACCAGAGTGGCTGATTATACTTAGAATTATGGCACTAGTACTACCATCCCATAAAATATATCCTCCTAATGATGAAACAAGTCCAGGATGGGAAAACAACTATGTATTGTGGTTTTTAAAGAAAATGACATAATCAGTGAAATTTTAGTTGTAATGAAACCCAGATTGCTTCATTAAGTCACTTAAACTGTCATTAACCTGTTGGGCCACTGATTTTATATGCTATTAAAAGTGATATATTTACTAGGAAACATTGCATCTATTTCATGCTTATATTATTTCATATATATTGGGGTTTGTCAAGATAAAATCATACCTAATGTGTCAACATCATTATAAGCTGCCCTGACTGATTACCCCAAGATTGGAGAAAAGCAGATATCCAGGGCCACTCATGTGCTGTGCATGTGGTTATTTCAGAATGTCTGGCTATCTTTCTGGTGGTTGTGACCTTTATTCTTAAGGGCTATTCTTCGTATTTCTTAGGTACTTCACCTTATTTATGAACCTTTTGAATGACTGTAGTGAAGTTGAAGATGAAAATGCACAAACAGGTGGCAGGAAACGTGGCATGTCTCGAAGACTGGCATCCCTGAGGCACTGTACAGTCCTAGCAATGTCAAACTTACTTAATGCTAATGTGGACAGCGGCCTCATGCACTCCATAGGTGAGACTGAATGAGAACTCAGAGAATGTTAGAGAGTTGCCATTGTAACACATGGAAAAATAGCTTCAGCAGGGCCATGTTAGTAAATCTGCCTGTCTTTTCATACTAGGTTTAGGTTATCACAAGGATCTCCAGACAAGAGCTACATTTATGGAAGTTCTGACAAAAATCCTTCAACAAGGAACAGAATTTGACACACTTGCAGAAACGGTGTTAGCAGATCGATTTGAGAGACTTGTGGAATTGGTCACAATGATGGGGGATCAGGGAGAGCTTCCTATAGCTATGGCTCTGGCCAATGTGGTCCCTTGTTCTCAGTGGGTAAGTTTATTGGGCAAGTAAGGAAGAAGAGTGCCTAGTACATAACAGATGCCTTAAAATCTTTGTTCCATATGTGTTTATTGGCTGAATTAATAAAATTTAAGAGCTGGAGGAAACATCATACATTTAGTTGAGTGGTTTTCAGCTGTGGGGCAGTGGTTAGCACTCCTAGCACTTAACTAGTGTTTTGTCTCATTGCACTGCTCCGAGATACACTGACTTGAAGAGAACTGTAAACCGCATGATCTGGTGTTCCGTGCGTTATATAAGGTCGTTAGACTGCACTTCGTGTCCATTGTTAGCAGGGCTAGAACTGGAGCCATGACTTGTGCCAGTTCACTGCCTCTAGTTTGCTATTCTTTATAATGCTGTCTACAGTTTAATTTTTTAATTTAAAAACCATTTGCACTTGGAAGTGTGCTATTGCTTGTTTTAAACACTGAAGACATGTATGGCTATTTGGCTTCTCAATTTTTCTAAAACAGCATCATTATTAATAATGTTTGGTAAAATTTTAAAAAGGATTTTTTTTCTTCCCATGTTAAAAACCACTTGTTAGGTACTTCTAAGTTGCCCTAAGGCAATGATGTTTGCTTCCTTCCTTCCTTCCTTCCTTCCTTCCTTCCTTCCTTCCTTCCTTCCTTCCTTCCTTCCTTCCTTCTTCCTCAGCACTTGTGCAGGCTAAACAAGTGCTTCACCACTGAGCTACCTCCCTAGCCCAACTTACTTAGTTTATATTCCACCAAAAATGACTTAAATAACAGTAAATTCTAGCTAATAAAGTAATCTGTCATTGCCTGCAGGTTTGTTTCTGTTTTTAAAAAAGTCTGTAGGGTAATATTTCTCATACTTAAAGTAGAATTCAGATTGTTGGGGGGTGATACTGAGAATTGAACTGGGGATTTTGCACAGAGCTCTGTTGCGACCTGTTTTATTTTGAGATTGGTTCTCACTAAGTTGCTGAGTTACGTAGGCAAGGCTTCTTTCTCAGCTTGTGATTAAACAGTGATTTGCTGTCAGATCATTTTTCTTGAGTATACCAAAATCTACTTTACTGTAGGGAATTACAAGTTTTTAAAATACTAGATGGAGAAGGAAAGCAATATATTTAAATATTGAGCATATGCTAGGAGAAAGCCTTCACATGGAAAGTGTCCAGATTAAGTTATATGAAATATTTAGGGGGCCTTCACTGTGTGGCCATTTCAGTCAGTGGTGTTTTTAATTTTCATATTGTCTCAGGCAACTATAACCAACTTTGGCCTGGAGAAATGCTTATATATTTACCAAATATGTTGAATTTTGAAAATGTACCACACCATTACACACACACATCAGTATATGAAAGAACCTTATATATCATATGTTGAAATGTGCTTATGTATAAAAAGAAAAAGTTAAAGCATAAAATGCCTATAATTCTATGACATTTCATCTGAAACATTCATGTATTTTTTGCTATACTAATTTGATGTTTTACATGTGAATACATAAAAGTAAACATGAAAGTATTAAATTATAATAAAATTTTTATTCAAAAAATAATAATCAATAAGCATGTATCGCCATGCTCAGCCTTTTGGGTTTTTTTTTTTTTTGTCTTTTTTGAGACAGGTTCTCGCTCTGCAATTCAGGCTGGCCTTGGGGTCACTTTGTAGCCCAGGCTAGTTTTGAACTCACAACAATCCTCCTACCTCAGCCTCCCAAGTGCTGGGATTACAGGTGTGCGCCACCATGCCCGGCTAACCTTTTGTTTTTAATTTGTTAAAAAACCTGTGGTCTATTATGTGTTTCCTACAACAACCATTGAGAATAGTTAATGATTTTTCAATAGGTCACTCATGTATAGCTCTATTTATTTTCTTTAGAAGCCACTTTGAAGATACCAAAGTATAGTACAACAACTCTTGATAATCTCCTACCTCTTTTGTCTCTAACTCACTATTATTTGTCTATTTGTTTTCCTGAGAAACTATTTTGTAGATAACAATATGTAAAACGATAACCATTGATAATTTCCTACCATTTTGTCTGTAATTTGCTAAGTCTCCCCTATTATTATGTTATCCTTCTTTTACTCTTTAAAATAAAACAAAAACAAAAACAAAAAACCTGTAGTCTTTCCATTTTTGTTGTTTTTCTGTCTAGTCCATATTTAGTGTCTTCCTCTCATGGTATGGGGAGAGAAGAATACTTCTGGTAAACAAAGTCTCCTATCTCCTCAGTGATTCTCTTAAGAGAATGATCTCAGCAGATAAAACTCTTTCCTATTATTCTTTATTTCTTTGTTTTGTGATATAATTTGAGCTGAATCCTGGAATCTTTTTCCTGATAATGCCTGTGTCTCTCTATTATAATACTTTCACCAGTTAGTACTTAGAATTGACAGCCACTGTATAGTTGCCTGTCATAGACACTTTGTAAAGAAAAATTCCAAAGGAAATACTAATCAGTCACCATATGCCTCAGTTTACTTAGCTGGTTGTCAGCTTTGGATTTTTCCCTTTTGTCAAGAACTGACTTATGCTTCAAAATTGTTGACAGTAATACAATTTTGTTTTATTCTTAGGATGAACTAGCTCGAGTTCTGGTTACTCTGTTTGATTCTCGGCATTTACTGTACCAGCTACTCTGGAACATGTTTTCTAAGGAAGTCGAATTGGCAGACTCCATGCAAACTCTTTTTCGAGGCAACAGCTTGGCGAGTAAAATAATGACATTCTGTTTCAAGGTTTGTATTATTCCTGTGTGCGTGTGTGGTGAGGATTGTCAACCACTAATTAACGTACAGAATGTGGAGAGCAGGTTAGGTTTTTTAATGCAAGATATATGAAGCTGGTATAATAAATTCCTCATTGTGCATCTCTTTAGGTCTATGGTGCTACCTACCTACAAAAACTCCTGGATCCTCTATTACGAATTGTTATCACATCCTCTGACTGGCAACATGTTAGCTTTGAAGTGGATCCCACCAGGTTTGTCATCTTCTTGTATACAGCTGTTCTGTTTCTTCAGTATCACTGCGTGAGGCAAGGCCCTCATGATTGTTCCCTTATCCTTAAAATTAGTTTTCAATTATCAAATCTATGAACAAGTACATTTTCCCTTACAAACATAAAAATAAAATATTACAGATATAATTAAGGACATCTTTGACTACCACAGTCAGGGACTATTACTGGTTTATTCTGTTCTTGTTTTTTTTTCATGTATTTGTATATGCATATATGTGATTACAGAAAATATATAATGTGAATGCTCAGTATAAAAGGTAATAGATACATGCTTTTCAACTTAGTTTTTAAAAACTTTGTGTCTGCTGGGTGTAGTGGCATATGCCTATAATTCCAGCTCTCGGGAAGCTGAGGCAGGAGGATTGTCATGAGTTTGAGGCCAACCTAGACTACATAGTTTAAGGACAGGCTGAACTACATAGTGAGACCCTGTCTCAGAAAAAAACAAACAAAAAAACTGTGTCTTTGATCTTTCTATGGCTGTATGTAAGAAATTTCATTCTTTTATGCTGCATAGTATTTCATAGTTTGACTATGTTATAATTTATTTAGTCAATACTATAACTCTGATTTTTCATGTAACTTTCTTTTTTCTTGTTTTTGTTTTTGTTTTTCTTCCGGTACCAGGAATCGAACTCATAACCTTGCACTTGCCAGGCAGGCGCTTTGCCACTGAGCTAAATCCGCAGCCCCTTTACTGTAACTTTCTAATAACTGTTCTGGCATTGTCTTCTCATTTTCAAGCTGTTTACTGTATAAATTCTTTTTAAACATAAATCATTTTGTCACTTTGCTTTATAGTCTGGTTATAGTCTACCTTCACCTTATCACTCTTATGTGTACTCTTTTAGCTCCAAGGAAATATGCACATGTTATGTATTTTTAAAGTGGATTAGCACATGGGTTTTTTTGGGATTGGAGATGCCTAATAGATACTGTCTGTCATCTTTGTCCACGTTTAAAACCTAGAAGGCACAAGGCACATGAAGGAGCTTTTATAGATTTTATAGATTTGAATATCCTTTTGACCTTCCAGGAGTATTTGGCATGCTACCTGGTATTTGGTTAACATTTTATAAATACTTGTTGAATAAGTGAATTTTAACTGATTGTTTTATGCTTGCTTTTTCTAAGACACATATTAACATTCTTTTTTATAAGTCAGAATCATACTAAAAAGGTTATTTTTTACTTCAAGTTCAGAGCTTCTTAATGATCCTTCTAGATAGTTATTATTTAGCATTTTTGTATCAGTTGGTATTTTTGGCTCTGCCTTTGCTCAAATTTTAGCTGTAATATTAAATCAGAACTCTAGTACTAAATAGCCAGTTTTTAAAGTAGTTTAAAACTTGAAAGCAATATTCTTTTAAAACCATATTATATTATTATTATATTGTGTTGCCATTAAACAGTTTCACTTTTTTTGGACAGGTTTTTATGCTTACATTTTTTGAGGGCAGTTATCAAGCATATGTTATTGTTAACTATAGTCAACAATACAGTAGATCTCCAGAATTACTCATTCATCCACAGTGTAACTTTGTACCTTTTGGCCAGCAGTTTTTTATTCCTTTCCTTCACCTCTCTCTCCTCACCCCTGAGAACCATTATTCTATTCTCTACATCCATAAGTTTGCCTTTTTTAGACTCCACCTATAAAGTCTGGCCTCAGACTAGCTGTGTAGTCCAGGCTGATCTCATACTCAGATCTCATGATTCTTCTGCCCCAGCCTCCCAACTACTAGAATCACAAGTGTGTGCTACCATGCGTGGTTAAGTACTTGTCTTTCTGTGCCTGGACTATTTAACTTAATAACCTCCAGGTTCATCCATAGTGTCACAAATTATGAGGTTTCCTTCTTTTTAAGGCTGAATAATACTGCCAGGGTGTGTTCATACACTAACATATATCACATTTTCCATTTTGCATTTGTTCATCAGTGGATTTTATATAGCTGTTGTGAATAATCCAGCCATGAAAACAGCTGTGCAGATATCTCTTTGGCATATTTGATCACTTAGTGAGAGAATGAATTAACTTCATAAAAGAAGTCTGCCATATTAAGTGCTGCAGGTAAAAGAACTAAATGGCAAACTAATGTACTCAGGTTGCCTAAAGTCAGACTGAGCCCTACCCTGACATGTAAAGAATTTGAAAGAGTTTACAGTAAGAAAAACTAGAAGTCAGAACTCTTTTTAGATGCATCCAAGAATTGAGGTCACAGATCAAACTACTACCCCAGAAACTTGAGAAACAGGTGAATGTGGAATATCATAGCTCGACAGAACAAGAAGCTGGTAGGCTCAGTTTAGGGTCGGAATACTTAGACCACAATTGATAAATCGCTGAGAGCTGAGTGTAGACTAGCTTGAGTTTTAATACTTCTCCTGGGAGGCCAGACTCAGCAGGACCCCACGCCTTTGTGTTTTACTTCCAGAAAACTTACTTGGTTCTCAAAATGAAAATGGGAGGAAAATCCCTTTGTGCTTTGAGCAGGGGAAAAGGAGAAGTAATCATTTAAAAAATATGCCCAGAGGGCTTTATTATCCTTAACAAAGTTTTGCCCATAAGAGAAAATTATTTTATCTGAGCTGTATCTGACCTGGAGGATGGACAGTTGGCCAAAAGCCCCCCTCTCCCCATTTCTGGCCTTCCTGTCTCACTTAAGGAAAAAGAAAAAAAAAAAAAAAAAAAAACAGGCTAAGAAACCCTTCAGAAAGCCACAGCTCAGGAACTTTGGACCAATAAAACAAGGGAGATGAGACCAGAACCCAGGAAAGAATTAAATTCATGAACCGAGGTATGACTGTGGCGCAGAAATTAATGAAAATAGAAACAAAAAAGCTGGTTTTTTGAAAACCAAACTGAAGAAAAAAGTTTTGTACACATGAACGCTTCATAATTGGACACAAAGCTTCATTTTAGATTAGATTTACTGGACTGACCAACAAGTTACCCTTGGCACATGGGAAGCAAGAGAGCACTGTGGCTAGAGGCAGGGTGTTAGAAGGATGCCTAAAACAGGCGGTAATCTGAGACAGCCTCCTGAACCTTATTGAAGAAATTGTTACTTTACTTGTCTCCCTAAAACTCCCACATCCTCCTTATCTAAGATTTGAATTACTCTTGTATCTTCTTTTAACCAGTCTCTCTTCAGTTATCTACATATCATAAGACCATTTTCTTGTGGCTTCTCAGTAATCGCCAGCCATGACTGATTCCTATATGTCTGTCTTTGCTTTGCTATTTTGTCTTTTTTTTTTTTTTTTGGTGCAATTCTGGGGATTGAACCTAGTGCCTCATTCATGCAAAGCAAGTGTTGTCTCTGCTCCAGAGCTACACTCTCACTTTTTAAAATTTTTTTTATTTTAAGGCAGGGTCTTGCAAAGTTGCGCAGGCTGGCCTCGAATTTTGACCTGCCTCAGCTTCCTGAGTAGTTGGGATTACAGGAATGTACCACCATGCCTGGCAAGCAGTTTTCTCTTTTCTGTTAGTAATGATAGCAACTTACTTTTTTCTCCTTACACTCAACATTCACCTTATCTACTTAAATCAAATTTACCTGGCTATATTCCATTCTTCAGATGTGTGGGAATCCCCTACACACAAGTATGTGATTTTCTAGTAGACACCAGTTGGTTGTTCTATGATTTATAAGAATCAGAGATTTATGGATCTCTTTTTTTCTTTTTTTTTTTGCCAACGGGGGGGCGGTGTTTGGGTTTTTTTTTCCGGTACCGGGAATCGAACTCACGACCTTGCGTTTGCCAGGCAGGCACTGTGCCACTGAGCTACATCCCCAGCCCCTGTCCTATGATTTATTTCAGTTTAGACACTATCTACCTGAGATAGCATCAGATCCTACAGATTTTTTTGTTTGTCTTCTTGAGATAAGGTTTTACTATGCAGTTCAGGCTGGCCTCACTTTGTAGCCCAGGCTGGCCTCACTTTGTAGCCCAGGCTGGCCTCAATTTCACAGCAGTCCTGCTTCCTAAGTGCTGGGATTACAGGTGGGTGCCACCATGCCTGGCAAATCCTACAGATTTAAGGGCTCAGTCCCACAACATTACCAGCATTGCAAACGGCAGTCACAAGTCCAGAGTTGTAACTTGTACTTTAAACCAAAAGATTATAAATTGGCATTGCCATAATCCCCTCTGCTGGTTTGGTTAATTTGTTAGAGTGGCTTACAGAACTCTGATTTCCATACATTTGCCTCCTTACTCTAAAGGATATTGCAAAGTATAGAAATGAACAGCCAGGTGGAAAAGATGTACAGAGCAAAGTACTATATGAGGAAGGGGATAAATATTCCATATTGTTTTTGGTGTACTGCCCTCCAGGACCCTCCATGTATTCAGCAGCCTTAGAAGATCTTCAGACTTCTTGGTTTTCTGTAGGTCTCATTATATAGGTGTGTTTGATTGAACCATTGTCCACTGGTATTAGGCTTAACCTTCCATCCTTTATCCCTCCCTAGAGGTTAATTCTGCCTTGGTTTTTCTGGTGACCAGTCCCTGTTCTGAAGCTTTCTGAGGGCCCCCAGCCACCTGTCATGTCTAAGGGTTGTAGGAGCCATGTGCAAAGAGCCAGAAAAACAAGTATGATACCATCATATCACAGTATCCTTAAATTATTATATTCACTACTTATGTCTTCCTCATCAAAAATGTTAGAAGCCAACTGTTGTTGAATATTCAACACCTGGCACTAGCATGCCAAATAATAGATGTATAATAATTTATTATTAGATTGAATTGAGTACCTGCCCCTCTTACTTCTTTTTTACCTATTGGAATTCTGTCCTGTAAGAACTCAACTATTCCATGAAATCTTCCTTGCCTTGCAGTTCACATATGTGGATATATTTTTTTCTTTTTGAGACAGGGTCTCGCAATGCAGTTCAGGCTGGCCTTGAGCTCACTTTGTAGCCCAGGCTGATCTTGAACTCACAAGGATC